TATACAAACAATAAAGTTTTGAACTGCTTCATGATTAATATTAGACCATCTATCCGAAACCATTGTAATGTTTTGCAAGTAAAAAAATTGGAGAAAGTGACAATATCTCATGTACATTAGATTCGATGAATAACCCCCCGTTTTTAGACATCTTTACTGCTTCATTTTGATAGTTTCGAAACATTTGAGAAACATTGATCTTTTCTAAATAATAATCTTCCGCTGGATTTCCAGCTTTAAAGTGTAAATTAACATCATCAATTATTATGATTTCATCGTCGTAGTAATTTTCCGAAAAAATGTTGTTTCTCGATCGTAAGTCTGGTTCTGGAGATTCTATTAGTATCGGACAATTAGATGTATATCCGTCATTGATTGAAGACCTAGGCCGTGGTAGTGGTGTGACATAATCAGTGTTCGGACGTGGACAGGCTTTCTCTTCTACCGATATTGATGGCGTATTACGATCGTTTACTGACTTTTTCTTTAAAAAAATTTTTTCTTTTTCATCTTCCTCTAATTCATTTTCATCTTTGTCTTCCTCTAATTCACGTTTATTATTACAATTCAACTATTTTGTATATTAAGTTAGTTTCGTGATGAAACATTTAAAATTTTATAGATATGATCTAACAAACCTGTGTGTAATGTTCATTTACATTCCAGAAATTAACTACTGAATCCGAGATTTTTTCAAGCTATTATAGGAAAGAATAAATTAGTAAAAAGAATTACTAGTTAAAAAAAATATTTGAGAATAAGAAGAGCCACAACACTGGACGTTGGCTAACCAACGGGACGTAGGCTAACCAACGGGACGTAGGCGTACTGGTTGCACTATGCCAGTGCGGTACGAGACCAAGAACCACATCACTAGACGACGACTAACCAACGGGACGTAGGCGTACTGGTTGCACAATGTCGTCAATTGACAACACTAGACTTCGGCTAACCAACTCGGAGTTGGTGTACTGGTCGCTGGTCGCACTCTGTCAATGTTGTCTGTTCGAAATTAGGTGGCTGAACGACGGCTAACCAACGGGACGTGGGCGTACTGGTTGCACTATGTCGATTCGAACGTGGTAAAGACTAACATCCAACGGGACGTAGGCGTACTGGTAGCTAGCTTCTCCGGGTTGCAATGTGGCACATAATTGTCTCTGAACTCTCCTTATCTCATATTTCAATAAAAACATATACTTAACCTCAAAATTAAAAAGAGCTAGTTCGGCTTTGGCACCGTAAAGTGAATTCAGGGCTGCTAAGTATAATCGGTGTTCAAATCTTTTATTGTACATGAATTCCTTCTGCTTTATCCTGTACTCAAGGAACTTTATCAATGACCACGTCTCGTTTATGTTAAAAAACCCTACCACTGTTTCTATTTGTGAATCGGTCGGCATAAACATAATGTTTTGTTGAATGTCACTGAGGTAAATCGTATGAATAGAGATTTGATTAAATAATCAAAACACGCGTCAACTGACCAATCAAATTTTGAGATCAGGTGATAGTGTTTATTCATATGGGCTAATTTGGCTACAGTTAGGGTTCTTAATACGTATACCTGATACCGTATTATACCATTGGTATAATACCTGTATTATACTTGGTATTATACTTAATAATATCGGTATAATACCTGTACTACCAATAATTATTAAGATAGCCAATCAAAATAAATAAATAGATTAATAATATACAGTATATATGTGTTTATGTATATGTGTATATAGTACATATAGCAGCTGCGGGCAGTGTAAGAATTCTGAAATTTGAACAAGAACTGTGATTTTAAGACTTTAATAATACAGTTTAAAGTCATTTAATATATATATTATATTTTATAGTAATATAAGAACGATTTCAAATAGTAAGCGAAAGTATTAAGAATATGCTAGCCGCACAACCAAAATTCAGAAATCCGCCAAAGTTTAGATTGGAATGCATCAGAATTAGGCCAGCATTAATCAATAATAATAACTAACTATATTATAGCAAAATTAACGTCAGACAATTTTATTGTGTGGATTATTGGATTATTGGCAAAATTAATCATTCCGTCCTGAATTTTGGTTGCATGAATATAGCAATGAAAGTACTGGCAATATTTAATTTAAATTCAGAATTATTCACATTACAATACTTTTCTAAATCACTATTATGAATATCACTTGAGTACAAGAATATAGCGATTAAACTATATTTTATTTGAACTTTAGATTATAAGCAGGAAAGAAGCAATAATAAAACGAATATATTTTTTATAAGTTTATTTCTATATATTTACTAACATAAAGCGATCAATTTATCACTATATATAAAATAAAATATAAATAAAAAAAACAATATGTATATCAATATATATTGATATACTTAAAAAATCATATCAGTATTTAAATCGAATAAATCATTATTTTCACAATCTTCCTCCGCTTGATTTATATTTTCACTTTCGTAATCCTCAACTTCTTCTATATTTTTGTTATCCTTTGTTTTCATATACTGTATTCTTAAATTACTATATATGTAAACTAATTTTTTTACCCGTTCATTTTTTAACCGATTCCTAACTTTTGAATGAATAAATCCAAAATTTGAATAATTTCGTTCTGCAGAAGCAGATGAGGTCGGGATAGATAAAATATGGATAGCAAATTTTTGAAGTTCCAGACAATCTGATTATCGTATGGTGCCTGTTTATTACGAAATTTTAATAGTTCAGCATGCATTCTAGAAGCTTCATCAGTAGGATATTTTAAAGAAATAAAATTTGCAAATGTAGTTAAACAAACAGATTCATCTTTTTTGCTTTCTTCAAAATAATGCGGATCTAAAATATATGCAATAGTCATTATAGGATGATATATATAATTCCAACGAGTTTGGATATTTTGTTAAATTTCAGTAGAATAACTGCATTCAATTTTTTGAATTTCTACTAAAATTGTATTAAAACGAGAATAAATTGTTGAAATAGCAGAGTTATTACTTTCAAATGCTTTCAATGTAGCAATAATCGGCTTAAAAATATTAATAACTATATCAAGCTCAATCCAGAATCTATCTGATTGTAATCATGTTTTAACTTCTGAATTTAAAGTCATTGTACTAGGATCAAAAAGCATTTGTTGAATTGCTGTTTGCGATTTCATAAGTGATTTTATACATTCTAAATGTGTACTCCATCTTGTAAGTGCTGGAAGAACAAGTGCAATTTCTTTCTTATAATTTTCTTTTTGAATACATTGTAATTTTGCAATAGCCATATTATGATTTTTAAAATATTTGACAATTGTTTTTGAATCATCTATAATCAATTTAATTTCATCAATTTGGATAATATCACTAACTAAAAGATTAATAACATGTAAAGAGTATCTAAGATAAATAATATGTGGAATTTTTCTTTTAATTATTTTCCATGCCACTTTCATATTTGATGCTGTATCTGTAATAACTGAAGAGAATTTCTGAATACCAATTTCTTCTATTTTTGTAATAATTTGTGTTGAAATCCATTCAGCCGTATAATGTGCTTCTCCAGAATAAATTGCATTATAGAATAATGGTTTAGGTATACAAACAATAAAGTTTTGAACTGCTTCATGATTAATATTAGACCATCTATCCGAAACCATTGTAATGTTTTGCACATTACTAATTTCAACTTCAACTCCTTTTTTGATATCTTCATAAACTTTATTTAAAAGCTCTCCAAATAATTTTACATAATTAGAAATTTTAAATGATGATCGAAGAGTATGAAAAAATTTTATCTAAAATGGATTGTTAAATGCATTAAAAGAAATTCCAGAAGCAAAAACTACTTTAGCAAATTTATATTCTAAATCTAATAATTTATTACAATCTATTTTATCAACGTATACATAATTGTCTATAACACCTTGTCTAGTTTTTAACTCTGGGTTATTAACTAGATTTACTTGTTGAGAATTGGCTTTAATTGTTTTAGCAGATTCTGGTGCATTTATACAGCTATTAGTATGCTTTTGCATACAAGTAGCAAGTTCACGCTTATATTCTTTAGAACAATATTTATACTTTACAGGTGGATGAAGTTTGTTTTGAGTTTGTGAATTAAATGTCAAAGAACTAAAATTTTTGAATTATCGCTTAAATAATTATCAGAAGTATCGGAGTAAAATGTTTTATTTGAGGCTTCTAATTAGTTCCAATGATCCCAAATTTTACTTTTTTGTGGCATTTTTACGTACAATTTTATGAGATTTTTTACTCTGAGATATTTGTCTTTATATAATGTTCAAAAACTATATTATATTTATATCGATCAGTTATTTTAATATATGTATAATTTAGAAAGTGCCAATTATTAAAATTTGAAATTAATAAAAAAACAATATTAGCATTTAAAACAAAATTTTAACTAATTTAGTTACTGGATTATTCTAAATTGCGTATGTTCAAAAATAATAACAATTTATCTATTATAAGTATATTGTTTGAAACAAGTAAATAGTTGCCTTTCATTAAGTATTCTAATTATCTGTATTACAAGATATATTTTTTTTTTGCTAGTTAAAATTAGAAATTAAAACAAGTTTAGTACAATTCAAGTTAAATCAGAATAATCTAATACTAAATTAGATGTAAACTAGCATTATTTTCACTATCTGTAGTTTTAAAAATTATCTATATAAATAAACTTTAGGTTTTACAACTATAAAGTTTACTAATCTGATAAACTTACGAAAAGTATAGATCATATTGTATAAAGAACTTTACTGTTAAAATTAGAAATTAAAATTGATTTAATACAATTCAAGTTAAATCTAAATAATCTAATACTAAATTAAATATAAACAAGCATTATTCCTGCTATTTGTAGTTTCAAAAATTATTCATACAAATAAACTTTAAGTTTTATAACTATCTAATAAACTTACAAAAAGCATGAGTAGTAGGTGTAGTAATATAGCAAAGTGGTCGAGTTGTCATCCCCCAAGTAGCAAAGTCTAGGGTTTGAATTCTACCAGTGACGAAAATTTGAAAACTACTCCTTGTATATTCCTTCTAGATATGTCAACTTGATTTGCAGTAGTGTCAACATTGTAACCGTGCAGTGAAATACCAATTATTGGAAATACTACTTAATTGTAGTATGATTTTTAAAACCGTCGAGCTAACCAGATTAGGAAGAACTACTTGCAAATCCCGAGTATGGTGTTCAATTCCGAAAAAGAATAAAGAATAAAAGATTGGGACCCCTTGAAAAATAGTCTGGAATAAGAATTGAAGGAATACAACCCGCTTAAATGTGGTATAAACACAAGATAAATCCATAAGGGTTAGAAAAGACATATAAAGTAGGATTATAGTTTAAACTATTAACTGTATATAGCAATATGTACTTCACCAAAAACTATTCAAAACACAAATACAAACACAAACACTAGTCTTCTACGTGTCTAAGATTCGAGGATAAGACGTTAAAAACTTGGGTAACCAGGTTGGGGTGGTTCTCAAAATAATCAGCCACCCCTAAATCAATATTTTACAATACTCTCATTCTACTATTGATAGCCCTAACAAACACACTACTACTCTAAAAATTATACAACTCTTTAATTACCTACACATCTCTATACATGCACACTCAGACTTTTCTTGGCCCAAAACTATAAATGACTGCAATACTCCACTTGAAAATACTTTTTACAACCATCCCAAATACAACACTTTTAAACAACAACTTAGGCACAAAAACATTTTATATTTAGAACAACTCTGCTCAGCAGATAACAGGACTCTGTTAAACTGGCTACACTTATCATCTAGAATTTTATATATTCCTAAAAGCAAAAAACTACTCTGGTTTAAACATCTAGAAGATACTATTCTTGAAAATAATTTATCTTGTACTATTCTATCCCATTATTAGCCCAAAGGTTCCAATCCTTTTGCATATCAAACTAACCTTATTCTCAAAACTCACAAATCTTGGGTTCTAACTTATCACAATGAGCATATTGTAATTGGTCAAGTTTGCAGAACTTTTTCACAAATTAATACTATATTTATAACATACTGGCAACACAATATTGACTCTTCTATATTCAACTACTATCTACTACCTCCTATTTCTTGCAAACCTTATCAAGTCTGCAATCTCAACTCTAACCGTATTTCCAGCTGCTGTACTCTAGAAGTATCTGCTATCCTTTCTACCCAGTTTCTGGGAAGGAAAAAAGCCAACAAACAACTTAATCTTAATGCAAACTATATTGATCTTATCTACTCTATTAATATTAAACATTCTCTGAAAATATCACCACCACTTTCAATTAATATTATCGACTCTTCTATATCTAGTATCTTCCATAACAATAAAGCCTCTCTTAAACTTACCCAAATCGCATTAGCCAACTTATCTCAACACCAGTTCACTTTCTATACAAATGGATCTGTTAAACAACTTGGTACTAACCAATGCTCTATGGATATCAGCTGGGTCCAAATTCACAACAATCTAGTTATACAAAATTTCTCAGCCCAAATTTCTAATTGGCCTTCTTCTTACAAAGCTGAACTACTAGCAATATTATCTGTTATCTCTACAATTCTACGTAACTCCAGCTTGCAAATCTATACTGATTCACAGTTAATTATATTTAAATATGATAAACTTCTTATCATATTTTCTCATTCTACCAAATACTTTAAATTTAACTCCTGACCTATCTGGCATATACTTCTTAATATCTTAAAAGTCTTTAATATCTAATTGTCCTTCTAGAAAGTTCAAGTCCATTCCAATGACATTTTCAATAATCTTGCAGATTTACTTGCTAATAACAATTCCACTTCCTCAATGTTATCTTTTAACTATACTAATCCTTACAACCTCTACTGCATCTTATCTTGGAAAGACAACTTTATCAAGAGTCCTTCTAGACACTTTACCAAAAAAATATACAATGCATACAATATAGCTTTATGGTTCTTACAAAACCGTACCCAAGAATGGTCACACTTTTTCCATCTAATTGACTGGAATGCCTCCTGGTTATATTTTAACAATAATCAAAAAACTTCTTATAACTTTACCAATCCTAAACTAAACTATCTAAAATCTTTTAAAATCAAAATATTACTTAATATATTACCTACACATGTATATTTTCATAATACTTATCCTTATAATTTTACATCTCCTAACTGCTATTCCTGCAATAATTTAGAATCCTCTTCTCATTGGTACACTTGTCCCAACCACACTTCTTTAATCCAAATTATCAACACATTAATACATAATACTTTTACTAATGCTAATCTCAATCTCTCTTCTTATTAACTTAACAACCTCATATATACTATCTCTTCACATCCTGCCTTCAATCTTCAACCATCTCAACTATACCATTTCTTCTTTAATTCTACACTTAAAAGCCTTATACCCATACCCTTAATCTAATCTCTAAACCCATTTGAAATCTCATATTCCAATACTTCTTAATAGTGCTACAAATCGACAAAAATTTTCTAATCGATTAGTTGACAACTCATTTTACCTAACTAATTAATTAATCAATTTTATTTCAACTAATCGATTAGTTGACCAATCGATTAGTCGACTAATTGACTAATTGATTAGTTGACCAATCAATTAGTCGACTAATTAACCAATCGATTAGTTGATTAATCAATTAGTTAACCAATCGATTAGTCAATTAATCAACTAATCAATTGATTAACTAATTGATTGGTCACTTTGTGTATCCAAAGTATATGCCAGGATAATAATTTTTTGCTATTAGAATTAACCAATTGATTAAATTAGTGATTAGTCGACCAATTGAATAGTTGATCAATCGACTAATCAATTAATCGATTAATTGACTAGTCGACTGATCAATTAATCGACTAATCGATTAAGTTGGTTTGGTAAAATGGAATCGATTAGTTGTCAACTTGATCAACTAATTAATTTTTCAACTTTCGATTTGTAGCACTACTTCTCAACTTATTATTTAGCTATTTCTCAAAATCTCCAATCAACTTTATAGCAATATCTGGATTCCATACTGTACCAACTTTTCTAACTGGAAAAAATCTTACCAAATTCCTTCCTACTCCAATTGTAATACTCTATCACAATCTTCTCTATGCTCAATCAATAGAAAAAACAAAACTAATTATACTTACAGTTGTCCTTGCTGCTTCGCTAACCAACTACATTCCGAAACTAATACTTGTCCTTTTCTAGAACAAGTTACTTTTAAAATTAATATATGGTTTACTATGTGGATCAAATATAATACACCTATTAACCAAATCCTAACAATTCAAACCTAGGTGAGTCTTGACCACTCTAGTAGGTTTAGGTTACAGATAATTAGTTTGAGCTTTTGTTTAAGCTTTTAGTCTGAGCTTTTATTCTTGCATATAATTTATATTTATTTGTTATTATACAAATTAAGTCTTTATATAATTGATATGTAATTGCTTATATAAATTAATCAATAAAAATATAAGCAAGACCTCACCTTAATACCAAAAAAAAAAAGTATAAGTAGTATTGTATAAAGAACTTTACTATTAAATAGAAACAAAAAAGTGTTACTAGTGATAATTAAAAATGCAAAAAAATTAGTTACTTAAAAAAGTTAAATATAATTAGTATAAAGCTTACAAAGGGATAAATATTACAAATATTAGTAAAAATCTAAAACTAAAAAAATTTACTATATAAATTAAAGCCTCATTTATTAAAGCTACTTAATAGATTAGTCTTATTGTTTAACTTATTATTATTATTGCTATTCTATTTCTTAATTACTATTTATTTTTATATTGTCTTACTTATCATTATTATCTGATTAAAATTAAATTAGTAATTGACTTTTATTATATGCAAATTTATTCTGATTTTTGAATTTAAACTTATTTCAATTTCTTGTATATGATATATTGCAATCTCAAACTTCTAAAATAAAAATTAGTATACTCTATTTTTGTTTCACTTGTACAAATAACA